TCTGCCCACGGTTTGATTCTGACCAGCTCAAGGTTGACCCAGTCTTCCATCCTTCCGAGGTTGGTAAAATGAGGACCCAGATTGTTGGGGACAATATGCTAACTTTGTAAACTGCTTAGAGAGGGCTGTAAAGCACTGTGAAGCAGTCTACAAGTCTAAGCACTGCACACCAGAACAACTAGACACAAGGACAGTTTTTCCCCGAACGCCACCACTCTGCTAAACAAATAATTCCCTCAACACTGTTCAACTATTTACAAAGGCTGCACTGTTATTACTGTTAATCTTCTCATCACTCCTTATCACCCATCCCCTCCCATTTGTGACTGTATGACTGTAACTTTGTCGCTTGTATCCTTACAATTTATTTTGACTGTTTCCTAGTATGATTTGATGGCTTATTGTGCCCTATGACTATCATTGAGTGTTGTACCTTATGATTCTTAACTCTTGATGAATGTCTCTTTTCTTTTATGTACACTGAGAGCATTTGCACCAAGACAAATTCCTTGTGTGTCCAATCAGGCTTGGCCAATAAAAGAATTCTATCATCTATTTTTCTATCTGTCTGTCTATCTGTCTATCTAAGTGCTGTTGCTGAATCTCTCTCCATCTTTACTGATGGTTGATATGGACTCACACACACACCCAAAAAAACCCTGAGAACTTGCTTTCCTATTGGTCAAGAATCTGCCACACAGACCAATCACAAAGTATACTTAAGTTGTCAGCATCCATGCACAAGAAATGAAGTGAAGCGCCACACCAGAGAGGCACTTAAAAAAAAGAAGTCCAACATCAGATCTCAGGATTTACTAGGAGGAATGTGAGGGCTGTGAGGTTTCTAAAGTGTGGTGCAACTGAACGACACCCACACTCTATCCCTGATCTCCATGGGTTTGTGAAGAATATCCCCCTAAGCCTCAAATGAAAGGAAAAGAAACCACATTGCAAGGAATAGAGTAGCAAATCCTCCTCTAATTAAGAACAAATCACAGGATTCCCCTTGAAGGACAAAGAGCCAGGCAATTAGATGAATGGAGTTGTTTACCCCAGCAGTAAATAAATCTTCCCATGAAAAATGAGACCTCCGGGGAAGAAATGGTGAACTGAAGACTACCAAAAGCAAACCCAAGGATGCCAGCAGAATGAAGAGCCGGCAATTAAATTGGCTTTTTGTCATTACTCTCTGGGCAAGGAGAAGACTTGAGATTGCCCACGAGGGCTCCATGCAGTTTTGCCTCATGAGACCATAAAACAGAGGTCTAGAGTGGATTTAGAGCTCTGGGAGATTAGGGAATAGCCATCTTTTTGTTCAAACAATGTTGTGGCCCACTGGTGGCTGACGGAGCTGGCAGCAGAGTCGGGGAGTAACGAGGAGGTTGGGGAGGAACTTGGGCAAGTCTTGGAGGCTGAGGAAGGCGAGGGCGAGGGCGAGGGCGAGGGCTCTGCCTCGGAGGCAGGGATGGGGCCAGGGCAGGCTGGCAGTCATCAGCTGCCTTCAGACTCAGACAGCAATGAGGCGGCAGAATTTCTGGAACCAGTTCCCAGCCTGCACATGTGCAGGGCGACCAGAAGACAAGAGCAATTGAGAAAGCAGGGTCAACTCAGGAGTAAGGCGGAGATGATTGGCCCCTCTCTTAGGAAATAAAAGAGGAGTGAACGGGAGGTGAGCTTTTGCAGGAAGCAATTAGTTTGTCTGGTGGATTCAAGCTTTGAAAAGTTCTGTTTGACTCTGTGTCAAGTTTGGCCTTGCCCTGCATTCGGCAATTAGTTCTCTGGCAGCATCCCAAGTGTGATAAGGTGGGTGCTTATAAACATCCCCCTGAAAGACTGTTTGTGAAGCCTTTCAGGCTGTGAATGAATATAACTCACAGCTGTGGAAATAAAAGAGGTTTTGCCAGGACTAAGATTGTGTTTTATGCTTTCTAAGGAGCCTAGGTCAGAACAAACAACAATTGGCACCTTCTAAAGGACACTGGATTCACATACTTACTTCTCTATTGATTTTTGTAAATTGCTTGTTAATTGTTGTGCCATAGAGAGACACTGGTTAGAATACAGTATTGCAGGCTTATTCTTGTCGACTGCCAGGAGTTCGATCCTGACTGGCTCAAGGTTGAATCAGCCTTCCATTCTTCCAAGGTTGGTAAAATGAAGACACACAGATTGCTAGGGCAATATGCTGATTCTGTAAACTGCTTAGAGAGGGCTGTAAAGCACTATGGAGCAGTTATATACTATAGGTCTAAGTGCTAGTGCTTTTTAGCTATTGGAAACCTTCAGACTGACAGCTTTACATCACTCAGTGAATTTCCTTCAATCTTTAGTGAAAGAAATTTAAATTTGACTTATTAATGTAGAATAAAGCAGATATTTTTGAACAAAGGACCCTGAAGATAATGTAAGACCATGTTTAAAAGATGTTATGGAAGAAGAACAAGTTTTGCCAGGCAAGATTGAGATTGATCTGAAAGTGGATTTAAAGATGCCAGGCTACAAGAATGATGTAGAAAAGTTGTTGCACTGAACATACAAAAGAAACCAGCTGATGTCTTAGTAATTAAAAAGGATATACACATAACAAGTCACCTGAGTAATTTTCCTATATTGAATTCAACAAGAATCTTCTTAAACCTTTGAAGAATTTTGTGAGATAGGACAGGGGAAAAATGAAGAGAAATCATTCTGGGACATTATTTGAAGGGACTAAAGATCAAGGCTGTTAAAGTAAAAAGGAAGGAATATAAAGTTGGTTCATTTGATCAAGGTTAAAATAGATATATTGTTGTCTCTGGTAAGCCTTATTGAAATTTTGCTGACCAGGAATAAGTGACATGGCTTTATGGGTTTGTTTGTGGATAAGAAATGAGATATAGGAAGAAGAGATTCATTGGTAGAGAAGGTAAAAACCTATTTTTAATTTGTGGTGAAGGTGGAAGTTTTTCTTTAGGTATTTTTTTTCTTTACTATATTCTTTTTTCTTTTCTATTTTTCTTTCT